GAGAGAGAGAGAGAGAGAGAGAGAGAGAGAGAGAGAGAGAGAGAGAGAGAGCAGCCTGAGGCCCAAGGGAAACAAGGAGGATGGACAGTGTAAGAGAATCGTAAGGGGGTGCTCAGTATGGTCTTTGCATGTTGGGAGGCTGTGATTGGCCGGGAAAGGTAACACACACACACACACACACACACACACACACACACACACACACACACACACATATATATATATATATATATATATATAGAGAGAGAGAGAGAGAGAGAGAGAGAGAGAGAGAACAGGCTGAGGGAAACAAGGAGGATGGACAGCGTAAGGGAATGGTAAGGGGGTGGTCAGTACGGTCTTTGCATGTTCGGAGGCAGCTGTGATTGCCCGGGAAAGGTAACAGGAGAAGCGTTCCGAAACTGAGGGGGCCGAGGGTCCATGGCATTCTGCATATGGGGCCCGGGGATGGGGCTCTGAAATTGAGGGGGGTTGGGGTTATATGGTTGGGGGCTCCTAAACTGAGGGGATGAGGGGTTCTGTGCGTGGTGATTCCGAACAGGGTTCTGAAATTGAGGGGGTCTCATGGCGTGCATATTATGGGGTCCCGAAACGGGGTTCCGAAACTGAGGGGCTGTGGGGGAAGAACCTGCCCCAGGACCTGGCCCCCCTCCCATGGGAGGAAACCCAGGTCGAGGCCCTGGCATCCCTGCGGGAGAGAAAAACTGTCTTGGAGGTGGTGCACGCCCTGCTGTCCCCGCCAGCTCAGGCATGCTGACTGCAAAATGATTTGGAAAATTCATTTGCACTTCCATCGGTGTTAGTGGAGCTTGATTTATCCCTCCCCCTCCCCCTCCCCCTCCCCATCCCCATCCTCCTGGTCTTCCCTGCCCTTGCTCCCTACCTGCTTGTTGCATCATCATGCCCATATTCATATGTTGCCCCCCACGGGCCACCGACCCCAGATGGTTCATCTCCAGCATCAAATTCCTTGCATTGTTTTGCGGAAGGAATGACATAGTAGTCATGGGTACGGAAGGATTGAGAGAGTTCGCGGTATTGCGAAGTCCGTACATAGGGTTCTCCCTCGCGAACTCCTCGCCCACTCCGTTCTCCTCCGACTCCGACGTCGGATTCTCTGCAGCAGCTTCCGGGGCATCACCTTCCTCTCCCTCCTGCGCTTCCTTCTTTTCTGAGTGCTCTGCAAGCTTCCCTAGGGTCTCCCAAATGCTCTTGTCACTTCTCCTTATTCTGTGAACGAGGAAGAGGCAGCCCGCCGAGCACAAGAGGAACAGCGTCAGCGGCGTCAGTACGATAAACCAGAAGACACCGGCCGGCCACGTCACGTACTTCTTCTGATTCCGGGTGTCGTATGCGCACCACCTCGTGTACTTCTTCCCCTTCTTGCTCGCCCATCCCCACTTGCATATGCATGCAGTGTCATTCAAGGCATACCCGTGGTTGCAGATTATGTACCCTTCGTCGTCGAACTCCACCGCCCGATCGCAGTTAAGGTCGCCTTCCGCACAGTAGTTTGCGTCAGCTACGCACAATCTCAACGTCTCGTTAAACACCGGCTTTTTCTTTCCGTACCTTTTTCTGCAGTTTACCCCTTCACAGTAAGGTGCAGAGGGGTCAGGAATCTTGTCCTCGTCAGCAGTGCAGGTCAGACAATAAGATATACCAAGGAAAAACGTTTCGAAGGAGGGGGGGGGACACGCTGGTGTAGAGCTTTTATCTGGTGACTTCAACAACGATCTCGTCGGGGAACGGACATCATGACGTCGGGCCTCAAGCGCACGTCGTGGGGTATGGAGAGGAACGACCACGCTGCCAAGCTGCACGTCCTGCATAGCTACCTCGAGAGAACATGTTGTGCCCTGCCATCTGGAAAACCACCAGGGCATCACAGTGAGAGAGAAGGACAAGTTGTGCGTCGAACCGGGGGGCATACGCTTTCTGTCTTCAAGGGGCTTGGTTGGGATCGTACGACATTCCCGCACGGATAGCCGGGGAGTAGTAGCTGTCATCCATGTACTACCTTCATTCTCATCCCCTCCCCCCTTCCTCCTCCTCCTCTTCCTCCTCGTCATCTCTCTGCTCCTCCTTCTGGTGCCATAACTACTCCAGTCAGCACTGCCCCGACTGTGTGGCCAGTAATCATCACCGTAACTGCCCTCGTCGTCGATACCTTTTGCAGGAATGCCCCTCTCAACAACTCCATCGGCATTTGTGCTGCCTGTGCAATTACTACAAATACTTATACTACTACGAATACTACTACTGCTGCTGCCACTACCCCTCCTAATCTCATCCGATTCACCCATCCCAGCAAAATCACCCCCACTAGTGCTTCCATTCCTGGCACCATCGCCGCCCCCACTGCCATTACCATCCTGCCAATCGCCGCCTTCGGCGGCATCATCAGCGGCTGTTTGCGCAGGGGTACAACAACACCGACCGAATCTGATACGGAATTCCTGAGTGTGTGGCAGCAGATTGATGCAGGTTATAACCAAGATCAGTTGGCGCATCTCTTGTTTGTGGATGCCACCATGCAAGTATAAGACGTTGTCGTCGGCTTTCGATCCATCATGATCATGATGATGGAGTGCAGTGTCCGAGGCATTTATAGGCGATGATCCGTCATTCACAACGGGAGAGGCGAGGATAACAACAGAGCTCTCGACGAGAAGGCTTGCCCCCACCTTGACTGACAGCGGAACGACAACCACAACCCCTGTGCTGGCATGCCAAATATTCTGCCCCTGGTTTGCGAACAGCAACAATGAATTGGGTGGTGGAACCCCCTCCTTCTCGTTAACGTCACCCAAAAAAAGCGGGACTCTTGCAACGGGTGAATCAGATGGTTCCGCGTCGTCTCCGTGGTCATCATGTGCTGTCTTGGACGAGGAGTCCAGCTCCAGATGCGACCGTGTATCCTGACAGTGGGCGACCCGCAGTGGTACGGCAGCCATGGATGCTGTCGATCTGACGACGCTGACGTTGTCACTGCCGGCAACGTCCTCGGCTGCATCGGTGGGTAGAGGCTTCAGAATGGGCGCAGCAAGTGCACTGTTAAACGCCGTCGCGGTGCCAAAACAAAACATGCTAATGACAGAAATGATGACGGTGATGATGAAGGTAAGCACAGTCAATGTGACGCTGAGTGTCGCCAGAGCTGGAGGAGCAGGAAAACGCACTGCCAACTGCGACTTTATCGGCTGGTGGCCTTTTGTTGATTCGGAAGTCGAAAAAAGATGTGCCTGTCGGCGGTGTCGCATTTTGCGAAATATCTGCGGTGCGGAGAACACAAGGCGGAAAACCAGAGTCGAAAAAAAAAAAAAAAAAAAAAAAAACAGAGTCAGGGCCGGCCGTACTCACACTAGCACCACCGTAAATGCATCTGACCGCACTGCAAGGGGAAGTTTCTGGAAAAAAAAAAAGAAAAAAAAAAGGGGTAACTATGAGGGATGAGGGAGTCACAAAAACAGTTTGAAATTACAGCTGGGGCCAAAACGAGTTTCAAATTGCACTTCGGGCACCGTACCTGACCGGAAGTTGGCTTGTATACATTGCCCCAAGTGCAATTTGAAAATCGTTTTGGCCCCCCAACTGTAATTTCAAACTGTTTTTGTGACTCCCGCGCAGTTTCCTCCCCCCGCTCCCCCCCCTCCCCCAAAAAAAAAACAAAAAAAAAAAAACAAACGAAAGGTCTATTCTAAGCGATTAGTGTTCCTTAATACATCTTCTAGGCTATCCCGTGTTCAGCAATCCTACGAAAAGGAAAACGAAAACGAAAGGTCGATTCTGAACGATTCTAAAGTTTTCTACATGCTCTCTCTCTCTCTCTCTCTCTCTCTCCCCTTATTTATATATATACACAGGGTAACCGGTGTTCGGGACGGGCCGAACGCCCGAACCCGAACGCTATGGGACCCCTTGGGGATGCGTTCGGCCGTTCGGGCCGAATGCGGACCCCAAAAAAAAAAAAAAAAAAAAAAAAAAA